AATTTTTACTTTTATAAAATGTATTATTTTTAATAAAATTAAATGTATATTATAATGTATATTATATAAGTATATTATAATATAAGTATATTGCAAGTGCAATATAAGTATATTGCAAGCAATGCAAAAAACTACTTCATATTAAGTTTATTATTTAATTTATTCATTTAAAGCAACTTTAATTTTCACACAAACGTTTTCACTCAGAAGTCATCAAAAATTCGCGCGAAATTCATGTTTTTCTTAACTTAAACTTTAAGTTAAAGTTTAAAAAGGTGTTGTCTTGTAAAACGTAAAAGGTAAAAGTTGACGTCGTTGGTAAAATTATTCGTTGAAACATTTCTGAAAAATTTAAATTTGTAAGAATATACTTATTTAAAAAATAAAATTATTTATTGTATTTAATTATCAAAACTACCTTAATAATATAGTATTTTCTTTGATAATTTAAATAAAATGTAGTTATTGTAAACAATCTTCGGAAGTAATTTGTCACTTGATTCAAAAAACGTTTTGCCTAATCAAATCATTCATGTTTAATCAAAATATCATATTATAATATAAACAACATTTCAAAGTGTTTATTGCAAATATAATTATGAATATAATATAAATAATTTTTTAACATTTAGTTATATTTATGTTTAGAATTTATATTTAACTACTTTGTAAAAATTGTATAGTCATTTATAAGATTTGTTTTTAACTTTTTTTAACAAGATGGCAGACAAAGGGAAAATCATTCCAGTTTGGGAATACTATAAATTAAAGGATGGGGACAGCTCAAAATCCCAGTGCTTGCTGTGTCCCAGCATCTTGTCACGTGGTAAAGCTGGTGAACCTAAAAAGTTTTCAACTTCATCCATGCTAACACATCTTCGTTCAAAACATCGTAAAGAATACGACGAAATGCAAAAAAAAATTGCTGACTCACAGAAAAAAGCTGAAACTGTAGCACTGTCAAATGCTAAACCTGGTGCAACTGCCACAACCAGTAAAGCCGTGGTCAAGTTCACAATTCCAGAACATGTTGCACACATGAAAATATGGGATTTCAATAGCAGCTCATCAATGAGAACTAATCGCGCCATTGCTAAGATGATTATAACAGAAATGGAACCGATTCAAGTTGTTCAGAAGACAGGCTTTGTTGAACTTATGAAAGTTTTAGAGAGCCGGTACACTGTTCCATCACAAAAATATTTTGCAGAGCAATTAATTCCTGAAATAAACGATGAAGTGTGTGCTCAACTATTGGTAATGCTAGATCCAGCATCTACTCCGTTTCTGGACAGCAGTGTGTGCTCAACTGTTGGTAATGCTAGATCCAGCATCTACTCCGATACATGGGCAGCAGGCAATACTGTACAATCATTCATGGGCTTAACTGCCCACTGGCTGACAGAGGACTTTGAAAACATGAGCTTTGTGTTAGATTGTATGCCATTTGTTGGACATCATACTGCCTCTGCACTAATGACTGCCTTTCAGCGGATGCTTGGCAAATGGAACATTGACGTTGGTTGCTGTCATGTCGTACTTCGAAATAATGCGGCAAATATATCAAAATGTTTCCGTAATGCCAACATAGAAAGCCTCGGGTGCTTTGCACATACTACTCAGTTATGTGTGCATGATGGCTTGCTCAGCCAGCCGGCAGTATCCAATATAATAAGTATTGGAAAGAAATTAGTTGGTCATTTTAAGCATTCTTCCTCTGTGACTGGTCGGTTCAAGGAGCTGCAGGCTGAAGTTTGTTTACCTGACCACCAGCTTATACAAGACGTTAGTACAAGATGGAACTCAACGTTTTACATGCTGTGTCGACTATGTGAACAGCGTCATTCATTAACTGTCTACTGTTCAGAAGTAGAAGGAACTTCTAGTCCAACTGCATATCAATGGTCTGTGGCTGAGAACACAGTATGTGTGCTGGCTCCATTTGAAGAGGCTACTTGTGAAGTTAGCTTTGAAACAGCACATATATCACTGGTTATCCCTATTGTAACAGCTCTGCGGAACTTGTTGAATAAGGAAGGCAATGATGCAGGTGTAAAGACTATAAAGTCAACCCTACTTAAGTCATTAGATAAGCGTTTTAAAGACATTGAGAAGAAACCTCTTTATACAGTGGCGACACTGGTTGATCCAAGATTTAAAACAAAATTCTTTTTATCACAAGCAACACTAATAGCTGCAAAAGCAGGGGTTCTCTTTGCATTTAATAAAATTACAGTGCAGAAGGTATCGATGCAAGACGGAAGTCAATCTGAGCATGCTGAGCAGCAGATTGACAAAATTGAAGAAGTTCCAGCAAATTAAGCTTGAATGAATAATTTTTCTACATCATCATTACTCTGGCGATGTATTGATGAAATTATTCAGTTTACGCCCGTTGGTGGCACAGTACATTAACAACAATTACCAACAGGCATTGATACCCAGCTAAGCCAGTATCTGGCTGAACCAGAAATAGATAGACACGCTGATCCACTACAGTGGTGGAGTGACAACATGCAACGATTGCCAGCTCTGGCAACAGTAGCTCGAGTTTATTTAGGTGCCCCACCAACAAGTGTACCATCAGAACGTGTGTTCAGTGTTGCTGGGGAGGTCCTCAATGATCACCGTAGTTCACTACTGCCGCATAATGCAGCTCCCTTAATATTTCTAAAGTACAATTCAAAACTGATTAAAGACAATTTAGAAAAATAACTGAAACTGAAGTTACTTTACTTGACTTTTAAATTTAAAGTTTCAATCATTTATTAATTATTGTGTTATATTATGTTAAGTTATGTGAAATTGTGTCCCATTTTAATAAGAACAATAAAATTTAACAAAAAACAGTTGTCTCTTGGTATTGAGGATGGTCAACAATGTTGATCATTATCAATGTCATGTAAAGATGTTCCGGATTTCAGCTCCTGTAATTTTGTTTCAAAATCCGGCTCCGGATTTGGCTTCGGCCGGATTTTGTTGGTAAAAATCTGGCTAATCCGGCCCTGGATGGATTTGAAAAAAATTAAATCCAGTACAGCCTTAATGAGATGAAAGATTTATAGAGATCATTGCATGGTCAGAACCACCTAAGGGAGAAAAGGGAGGAACTGAACACAAGCAAAAGTCAGAGACAAAACCAGTCACAAAGTTAACAATCTGAGTAAGAGATTGAGAAATACAGAAGTTATAGGCATAAGTGCCATCGAGATCAGAGACATAAAGAGCGGTAAAGAGAGATGGCATGATAAACAAAGATGTAGTCAAGACAGTAAAGTCCAAGACCAAGACCAAGACTAATAATGTTATTAACATTAACATATTTTTTTGTTTAATCAAACTATAATTTACTAAGAGTAGACAACAATTAAAAATAGATTAAATACAAAGTGTTTACAAAGAACATCTTAGCTTTACAACATGTTTGATTATAAATCAAGGTTTCTGCATTATTTCCTTGATTTTATAATAATAAATTCAGCCATGTGTGATATGCATGATTAACAATTTTGTCGCCTATCCAAACAGTTGGATAAAGTTATTAGTGTACACCAAAGTTGTACCTTGGTGTATTCTAATACCTTAGTACTACTAAGTAACTATCTTGGTACACTGAAGTAGGTTGTGCAACAATGGTAAGTAAACTCAGTAAATTGTTAATAAATAGATTTGAATATGTGACCTGTTACTGTTAGAATTTCTAGGTTTAGCATACGCATATATGCTTATATATATATATATATATATATATATATATATATATATATATATATATATATATATATATATATATATATATATATATATATATATATATATATATATAGGGGCTATTTTAGACCGTTTTCGACAACGTCAACCATATTAAAATTTAAATCGTCAAATATTATTATTTTTGTGAAAAAACTGCCTATGTTCGCAGGAATGAGGGGGTACTGCTGCCCAAATTTTTTTCCTAGAATAAGCCCTTATATATATATATATATATATATATATATATATATATATATATATATATATATATATATATATATATATATATATATATATATATATATATATATATATATATATATATATATATATATATATATATATATATATATATATATATATAATTCAATTTTTTTAAGATTTGTTGGTCACTGTGAAAAATTTTGAGCCAAATGTAATAACTATTCAAAAACTATTAAAAAACCAAAAAAAATACTCTGTGCTAGGGATTCCAAAGCACAACAAAAAAAATTTGACATTTGACAAAAAACACAAAATTTTCATGAACTTTACTCTTTATATCTTTTTTATAATTAAGCAAGAACCTTTTTAAAGAAAGAAGGTTTTTGAAGAAAGTTTTTTGCATCAATTAGTTTGACTCAAGTTCTTTCCAACCATGTATAAATAGTACTAATTTTTATATGGCTTCTCTTAAATATTATTCATGTATTGAGACCACTATTGATTAAAAAAAAATGCTACCGGAGCATTTTTTCAAAAGTAGTTTTTGAAGGTAAAGATTCCTTTTACCTTTTAACTTTTATATATAATTTCTTAGTTCTCAGTGTTTAAAAACTTTACATGTCAAAAAAAATAATAATAATAGTTTTCCGAGCACAAAAAATGCAATAAATTTGGATCTATTTAACTTCAAAGGTTGAATAAAACATTATCTTTTAATTCTTATTAAGCTCTATAGAATTATGTTAATCATATATCAGTATGTTTACAAAAAAAAACTCCTGTGGAATGGCTATCTGTGCCATAACACATTTACTTTTCACAATAAAAATTATTATATAATCTTTAACCAGAACAATTTTTTAAGTAAAAATTAATAAAAGCATAAGCAAAAATTAAAAATTTGCGCTCTAAAAAAAAAAGAATAAAAATTTCTAAAATAAGTGAAAAAAATTTAAAATAATAATAAAAAAAAAATTGTAAATATATTTTATTAAAACTTAAAAACGTAAAAACTTGAATAAAAAATAAACACAAAAACTTACATGCAATAAATAATAAGCATTGCAGACACTGCAATGTAGTTTCCCTGGTAAATCTTTATATTTGTGAACAATCGTTTAGATACTTCTCCTGCATTTTTTGGTTTTGAAAATTTGTTTATATTACAAAAAGATTTCCATGGTTGTAACTGAGAGCTTCGCTCTATGAACCATCCTTTTATTAATTGTAATTTTGTTTTATCGATTTCATTAAGAAATTTTGAGGAAATTTCGTTATCAATCTGACCTGTTATGTTTTCTAAATTATTAGTCATTTTTTTTCTAAAAAATTAGACATAAAAAACAAAAACAAATTTTTTTTTACGGGATACGCGCGTACGTATCTAAGATTATTAAGTCATGTAATGAGAACCTTACGGTAAACGATAAAACAAGCCAAAATGTACTAATCTAAATCTAATCTAAAAATATAACTATATATACTAATCTAAAAATATAACTATTAATTTTGAGATCAGTGGCAAAATGTAAAAGCAAATTTAAATTACGTAATTTTTTAAGAGGTTTGGACTCTAAATGGACGGGTATACTTCAAGACTTCAGAGGGGTTTATAAAATCAGCCAAATTAAGACTCTCAAACCATAGTTTTTTAATCGTCTGTTTAGTTTACCAAGATCTTATTTTAAATTTTATTTTAGGTTCCCTAAGAAGCGGTCTTAACACAGAGCACCACGGAAGAGCATTTAAAAAAAAGGTTGACGCCTCCTACCTTACTAATGTTATAAAACTTGTCCAGATGGGGGGTTGAACTATGGATCTCTAGCTTTTGAGGCAAGCGTGGAAACCACTGCGCAACGACTTCTCTGAAGATTTACTAGGAGTTTAGTTGCTTTCTTTGAGTGTCATTTTAGAAAATTATTTTTATTTTGGGTTATTTTGAACTGCAGTGGCATCTGGAACAAAGAGCTTTGAAGAAGCTTTACTGTTTTCCATTTGGAACCATACTAAATAAGTAAGACTCTTTCCATTGCATTCATAAAAATATTTATGGAAGTTATTGCTTGATTTTGTCTGGTTCTTATTTTGTCTGGTTTTACCACTGTTATATCTATAGCACATACTACAAGCCGTGATGTCATTTGTCATCGTTTAAGGCTTGACACTTCAGCGAACTATATTTATTAAATACGTTCTATCACTAATTCTTATTCTAACATTGCGTTTTAATTTATTATTGCTATTGTAGTGATTTTATATATTTGATTAAAGTCTTATATTTAATATTTCATTTTACTGCGGGTTCACGACAGCTACTTTTACTGAACTCATACATAAAAGTCAAACTCATGCTGTTGATTCTAGTTGTTAAAATAAATCTACTTTTTTTTAATGCTGATTATTGAGTAGTCACCCCATATCTATCAAATTATTTGCAATATTTGAAATATATTTCTTACTTTTTTGCAAATTTACAAGCATAGGTATTTTTATATACAAATACTAGCCCTAGCCAGCGGGCTTTTATTTTTAAAAGTTACGCTCTAAATGTATTTTAAATGTCTTTTAAACATTTTCTAAACGTTCTTATGTTAAGAAGGTTTAAATTTTACTGCAAGTTCAAGACAGCTACTTTTACTAAACTTATAACGTTCTTGCGTTAAGAACGTATAAAAGACGTTTAAAAAACGTTTAAAAGACAATTTAGAACGTAACTTTTAAAAACAAATGCCCGTAAGGTATTATTGCCAAAATCTTACAACTTTTTCAAGTGGCATTGAATTTCTTCTTTTTGCTTTGCAACAATCACAGTTTTTTTTTTATTTATTCAGCACAGCAAAGTTTTTATTATTGTTATTATTATTATTTTGTGGTAATTAAGATGCTCCCATAAGTCCTTACGGACTTTTCACAAAGCACTGCGGAGGAGCATTTAACTAGGAAGTTCACTCCTTTTTTCTTACCAATGTTTCTTGATGGGCTTGTGCTGGTGTCAAACCTCGGATCTCTTGGTTCTGAGTTAGAACTCTAACTATTACATAATGGCTGCACAATTGGAATGGGAACTATAAAAAACGTTTTTCCTTACCAATGTTTCTTGATGGGCTTGTGCTGGTGGTTCTGGATATCTTAAACCGTTTAGATATTAAAAAATAAACAACTTTTTTACATAAATAATAATATATTTAATATAAAACACAAATTCATAATAGTAATTCATTTAATTCCAATAAAAAGACCTAAGATTTGAAATAAGTGTTTTTAAAGTGTTTGTTTTCATTAGTAAAAAGATGTTATTTATTTTTAAATAACATCTGAATCTAAATGATGACATTTTCATCGCCATTCCTTAAATTTCAGAGGCAATTTTTAAATTTTTATTTGTATTTTGCTAAAAGGAAGAGAGAGAAAAATAAAAAGGAAAGGAAGAGAGGGAAAAATAAAAATCATAAAATGTTGGGTAAACAGCTTAAAAAAGCATAGGTATTTTTAGGGAAATGGGGGTATTCAAATAAGCGTATTTAAAAATGTGTATGTGCGGGGGGGGGGGGGTCGAAATGAAGGCGTACGTACTTTATGGATGACCACTTATTTTATCGGACAAAACTGAGTTAATCAAAATCATACTCGAACTTTGTTATGTGAGATAAGATGACTGCTCTTGCTGACATTAGCTGACATTAACCCAGCCGCGGCGCAGTAGTTTGAGTTCTGGCTTAGAACCCAGAGTTCCGAGGCTTTCAGCTCAACAAGCAACATTGGTACAAAAGGAGGCGTATTTAACTTCTTTTTAAATGCTCTCCCGCGGTGTTCTGTGATAAGACCGTGGGGAACACCTATAATAACAAAACAAAAAAAACGCGTTTTTGTATCATACTGCATTTTAAATGAAAAACGTAATTTTTCCAATGACGTAAATAAAGAACAAATCTTCATACAGACGGATTTTTAATTTACATGCGGCTTCAATCACTAATTTTATTCTAAAATAATGTCCGAATTTTGCCGCGACGATTTGTTTACGTTTTTCGAAAGCTCGGTTAAAGTTTATAAATGATTAATTTGAAATGTTTAAAATTAAGAATTTTTAGTTGAGTATTTGTAGATGTAGATTTATAGTAATTTATAAGTGTTAGTTGAGTACAATGTATACAGGGAAGTTGTTTTTTCTTGAGTTTTATTTGGGTTGAATATATGCCTGCTATAACTAATTTTATGATATATAATTAAGGGTGGTAGGTATATTATTTTCTAGTTATTATTGTTGTTGTTTTTTTCTTTTCTTTTGATTAATGCAGACCTGAATAATTATTTAAAAATTAGTTAGAGTTTAAATATTCTAGTTCCTAGCTTCTTTTATTACATAGCGTTATGAGTTTATATTTTACTCTTTAGAGTATATTATTATTATTATTATTATTATTATTATTATTATTATTATTATTATTATTATTATTACTATTATTATTATTATTATTATTATTATTGTTATTATTATTATTATTGCTATTATTATTGTTATTATTATTATTATTATTATTATACATCTTTATTCACTCAGTCTATAGTCAGAAGGTATGGTCAGACTAATAAAGAATATGGAAAAATGTGGACTTAACTTCTTGGTATAGTTTGCAATAAATGTGTCATTGCTGTTAAAGATGTGGATGAAACATTTATAACCAAGTTCAATATGTACTTTACAAAGAATAGGAATATGGATTGAAAATTTTAAATTGATCAAAGGCTAGATTGTTATATATCATTGGAAAGGGCTTTTATACATTATTTTAAAGGTGAAAAAATTATTAAAATCCAACTATTCTTCAAAAAGTTATGACGTTTTTAGTTGCAAGTTTTTGATATATGGATTTGTTGAAGAAACTGTGGTCAAAATTTAATTTTTCTTCACTTAAATTGTTATAACTTTGTCAATTCTTATCTAAATAACTATAACTTGGTATAAAAAGATAGGTGTAACAATGGGCTACAAATTTATAACATCGTCAACTTATTGGGTGTTTCCTGGGGGGCTAGAAGGGTGCCGAGCCACCACCTTCACCCTAAAAGTAAGTATATTTCTTTTAATAAAGAGTGTGTTTTTTTTCGGCAAACAGTAATTTATTTAATACAAAAAGTTACTATAATTTTATTCCAGACCAACAACAATGATTTATAATTATCTAATTATAAACAAATGTTTCTATATTTAATAAAATAAGTGAAACTAGTACACAGTATAAAAAACATTAGAAAATTTTTTTTATACTGTGCCCCCCCCCAAAAAAAAAAAAAGAATAAATTAAATAAATAAATCTTTATAATAACAATTATAATTATTTTAAAATGAGTTAACAATTTAAAACCTAAATTAGGCCTTTAGCACCAGGTATAACCCAGAAGCTAAAGTTGAAGACCACAACCAAGCCTACTATTGAAAAAAAAAGTCTTTACGCTGCTATTCGTAAGTTTTGGTTAAGTTGATAAAGTTTGTTGAATAGGGTGGTGATGGTTACCCCTATCTTAAAATAAAAAGATGTTTAATTCTTAAAAATAATTGTAACTTTAACAAACAAAACAAATTAGTATATTTCAGTTTTTGATATTTCATTAAATATATTTTTTTTCATTACCAAAAATATCAGTGTTGTATCCTATTTAAGAAATGCAACAATCCATTTTATATTTTTCTGTATTAAAACATTTTAGATTGTTCTGTATTAAAAGATTTTAGATATAGTTTTATATTATTCTGTATTAATACATTTTAGATAGAGTTTAAATAATTGTCTTGGCTTTTAATAAATAAAATATTTAATTTCATAAATGGAATGCTATAATAATCATTTGTAATGATAGACACCATGTGAAGATATGCCAGAACCGCCTATCAAAATATTATAGCTAGAATTATAGTAATCAACAATAATGTTTTTAACTTCAATGAAACCAATAAAATTTTAGAAACTATAAACAAGTTACACTAAAATAAATGGTAATTTTCATTTTTAAAATAAAATAAACTAGTAAAAATATACAAACTAGTATTAATTAATATAAAAATCTAATAAATTACTGCAAAAAAAAGAAAAAGAAAAAAACATTATTTTACTGGCAGTCTAACTGTATTAATACATATATATATATATATATATATATATATATATATATATATATATATATATATATATATATATATATATATATATATATATATATATATATATATATATATTCAACTTGTTCGTACCCCTCTTACCACCCATTTACAGAAAAACAGAAATGAGGTACCAAAACTGCTCACTTTTATATCTGCTCAATAATATTTTTCAATGAAATTTGGTAGGTAGATAAAAAATATATGTAAAAAACTATCTGGGTAGGTTTGCAAACTATCTGAGCTTTTCTTCGACAATAATTTAATGTGAGAACAACAATCAAATTTTTAATACTAAAGTAAAAGTTTAATACAATTAAAAATAAAAGCAATACAAAAATTACTAACCACGCATAAATGTTATATATTAATCAAGTTTAACTATTCTTTTTTTCAAAAATCATCTAAGTTTAGTAATGTTTCTAAAAAGAAACACAACAAAAAAATGTTCGCCTGACGTTACCTAAAAAAAAGTTCAAAAAACCTGACACAGAATTTTAGCACGAAATTCGGTTCCATAAAACACGGATTTCCGCGTACCTACAAAGAGGTATTGCATTTTTTTATTAAATGTTTACAGTGTACACCCCATAAAAAACTTGTTTGTCTAAGTTTGTAATATTTTACAAGGTTCATCTGATTCTTCTCTGGTTATGAGAATAAATTGCTCTGTAACTTATTGAGTAGTTTAAAAAATCTTTTATAACATTAACTATATTGTATTAACTACAAAAAAAAAAAAAAAAAAAAAAAACTTAAACTTAATACTTAATAATCAATTCTCAAAGTTTATATAAGTTTGATATAAATATAAATATAAGTTGATATAGATTTTATAAAGTTAAGTTGAAACAAATACATATTTACAGAGCCAGATATAAAAAAATGCTATGCACAAACATATATATGATGAACAAGAGTATTTTAAGTAATATGCAAGAAAAGCCTCCGTGCTACATGTTGGTTTTTAAAAAGAAAATGCTCATTTTTTTTAATAATTTCCAGTTAATTGTCTTTAAAAATGTTATATCAAAAAAGTGATACCATTGCCAAAAGAAACTTGCCCCACAAAAGGACTATGTCAACTCTTAGTAATATAGTATTGCATTTAAGATTTAAAAAACATATTAATTCACAGATAATTGTGAATATCTGTGAATTAATGTGTTTTTTAAAGCTTAAATACAATACTTTACTACTTAGAGTTCTTTTGTGGGGCAAGTTTCTTTTGACAATAGTATCACTTTTTTGGTATATATTTAATATATTTTTTATCTATTTTTTATATACTTTTTAAATGCCAAAGGCTGTGATTGTAATTGCATGTGAAGCCTATTGGCTTAGGTTCTCCACAAACTTTTTTCAAATAAAACTAAATTTAAATGTATGAAAAATAGCAAAACAGCAATTTTGGACCATAAAAGTTGTGTAAAGTCTACACAACTTTTATGTCTTAATAATATTTTGGTCTAAATTTCTGAAAAATTAAATTGGACTTAACTGCTGCACACACTTAAACCACAATTTTTGTACCATTTTGATTTTTACAAAAAATCATATTGTGTGCAAAAAGTACCAAAAAATGGAATACTCATACAAGTTCTATGTAAAATTCTAATTTAAGATTTAAAAAAAGTAAATATTATAAAAAAAAGTAATATTATAATTTAACCATTATTCAGGCCTTCACGTATAAGGCTTTGCTGTCACATGTCTTATATAACCACTCATATAATACTTTGTTTTGACAACTTGGCCATGGATGACTTTTTAAGAAGATGAGGTCTTGATAATTAGCGCTAAAAAACAAACCAAACTCAAAATAAATTAAACAATCCATAAAATGAAAAAAGAATTAAATCTAAAAAAATAATACAAAAATTAAACTAAAAAAATAAGTCTTAAAGAATGACAAAATAAAAAGAAGAAAAACTAGAAAAAATTTAAACATATTATTTCATGTAACTTAATTGTAAGCAAAAGTTATCATTATCTTTATATAAAGAATAGGCTAATACAAGGGCAGATCCATAGTGAGGGGGTTGGCCATGAGGGTGCCTGCCCCCTCCCCTCTAGATTTTTTTTTATCTTTAGAAATATATATATTGAAGACAGCACTATATTTAAAAACTTAAGTAAATTTGGGTGTTTAAAAGTCTTATAAAATTTAGTAAAATAAATTTAATTTAAATTTTAAATTATATAAAAAAATTATATATATTATTACATACATATAATATTACATATATATATATATATATATATATATATATATATATATATATATATATATATATATATATATATATATATATATATATATATATATATATATATATATATATATATATTTGTTTTATTAAATAATAAATATTTTTTGATAATGTAGTTATTATAATTATTATTATTTTGATATTTGTAGGTTATTTGAATTGATCTTTTTAGAATTTCTGTTTTAGTGAAATTGAGATTATTATGAGTTTATGTGAATGCATTAATACAGAAGAAAACCAAAATATTTTAAAATCAAGTAAAGTTGTAGTTATGGAAACTTGCAAATCAGAATCAGATGAGGATCTTATTGATTGTCACTCAAAGGAAAGAAACAATGTATTATGTAACAAGCATGAAATTAAATGCACTAACTCTGAGGAGGATAATAAGGAAGAAACAATACCAAATGATAATATAAATAAAATAGAAGAAACAAAAGATTGTCATTTAAAATCAAGTGATGAAATTTTGGAAAAAATTTTTATTGTTAATGATAATGTAAATGAAGTATCTATAGACAAAAGCGTTGATGAAAATTTTGAATACTGTTCTGAACCAAAACCTTCATGTAATAAAGAAGAAAGAAATTTATTTATTGAAAATAATCCAACTATTGTAAAACAAAATGATACATACCATTTAAAGTGGTTTGATTGGAAAGGCGAACAGACTCCAGTTGTCACACAGAATGAAAATGGACCCTGTCCATTAATAGCCATTGGCAATGTTTTAGTTTTAGCAAGAAAAATTACTATTCCAAAGATGCAACAATTTATTACAGCTAAGCAGTTGATTGAGCACATAGGTATGAAAATCAAAAAACAATAATATTCTTATTTTTTATTTTTATTTTTATTAAATTTTCTTCCCCAACAATTCAGACTTCATCCAAGTTTACTTTCCTTTCAATCCAGACTGCAGCAAAAAAAAACAGACAATGCTGGGATATTTTTTTTTTAATTTGCAACTTTCTCTCTCAACCCTAAGCTCCCTAAACAAGACCTTGTTGAACACAATACTTCTAGAGGTGGAGAGTGGAATTGAAGCTTGAATGATTGTTAGCCAAAAGTTATACCATCAATTTAATATTGGATCTATATGATATACATACATACATGCATACAAATGTACATACATACATACATACATACATACATACATACATACATACATACATACATACATACATACATACATACATACATACATACATACATACATACATAGATATATATATATATATATATATATATATATATATATATATATATATATATATATATATATATATATATATATATATATATATAGATTAAAAGTGTTTAAAACTTTAGAACATTCTAGAACAATTTAAAACATTCTGAAACGATTTAGAACATTCTAGAACAATTTAAAATATTTTGGAACATTCTAGAACAATTTAAAACATTCTGGAATATTCTAGAACATTTTAGACTATGTTTAGCTGCTCATCTACTTATTATAGAAGCAACACATGGCATCGTACAAGCTTAGCGATAGTAGCATTCAGAGGAACAAGGATGTCTGGACCAATAATCTGGTAAAATTTAGACTCTCATAAAAGAAGAAGAATAACCCCGTTGGAAGAATATTCACTGGAAGAAAAGTGGAGAATGCCTCTCCAAAAGCAAATTATCAGACGCTACCATTTCCTTGGACCAAAAATCAAAGGAAGAAAGGAGCGAATAGTGGAAATTTTCAGAGAAGTCACCAAATTGTGGAAGAATGAACTGAATTTTCCTCATGTATCTTATCAAGTTATACTAGCAAAGCTTGATAAAATACTGAAATGTTATGATGAATGTGTCAAGCGGGGAATCTATGAACCCCTTGATGATTTTTTTGATATTACTAAAGTGGATGGAACATGGTTATCTTCTGAGGACAAACAATTATACCATCTCCAATTGGAAAGCAAAGGAACAGTGGGATACTCTACAGGCCAAGCGGCCAGTAAAGAAACGATCCATCTCTCTAAAAGACAAAAACTTACTAATGAGTCATCCAACCCATCATCTTACTATCCTGGGTTTAGTGATTCTGACTCTGAGGCTGAGGACAGTGAATATAAAAACAATGAAGAAGAAAATGAGACAACTCCTACACCAAGCAGAAAACTTCATAAAAGCAAATTCAGCTATTTAAAAGTCAACAATTAGAGGCAATCAAGCTGAAGGAAAAAATGATTTAAAAGTTGCATGTGGGAAGTTGGTCCTTACACTTTGATGGCAAGCACATTGACGGAATGGATTATCAAGTGGTCATCCTTAAAAATGAAAGAAGAGAAATCAAATTGGATGTCCTTGGCTTGGTAGATGACAGGGCTTTAACTATTGCTCAAGGAATTTCTAAAGTCCTTGATGAATTTCACCTATGGAATTCAATATAGATGATTGTTGCAGATACCACCAGGCAACCCTCGGAATTAGGAAAAGGCATCAGGTCGGCAAATACAAAGGTCTTACCATAAAACATCGAAACGAGGTCGGCAAAACCAAATTTTTTTTGCCGGCCACAAACACATTTAGGTCGGCATTGCCGAATGCCGACCCTAATTCCGAGAATTGACCAGGGTTAACACTGGAAACAAGAATGGTGTTGTTGTAATATTGCAACAAATGTTCACAGAGAAACGCATCAACAAACCTCAGTTAATCAGTTTTCAACACCATGTATTAGATAGAATCCTCTGTTTGGTGATGGATGAAGAACTTGGAAGTAAAACATAATTGCCAAACATCGAATATCCATTTGTATCTCAATTGTTGTAGGAGTACGAACAACTAAAAACACAGTTTGATAACTGAACAGAAGTAATTCTTCAAACATTAGGCTGGAGAGATGATATGAAATTTTTGTTTTCATCTCACTCGAGTGTTCTGATTTTTTGAGGAAAAGGGACATTTTCCATTGATCAGATTTCAGAAAATACCAAACATCTGCAATGCAAGGTGGAACTGCAGAGCTATACTAACGATCCTGGCCTTCATTTTAATTCTTTCAACAAGAACAGTTCTGCAGAGAGCATGTTGATTTATATTGTATGGCTGGGCAGACCATTGGTTTACAGACAAACTGTACAACGAAAAGGACTTAAATAACTTGGCTGAAATACTGAATCCATACAAAAAGGCTTTAAGCTCTTTGAAAAATCAATGGAAGCAAGAGCCATCCATACTACAGATACCCAGAAGTAATCAATGGGCAGAGCGCGCAATCAAAGTAATCAAGGAAATTTATTCATCATGCAGAAATAAAGACAAATTTTTTTACCTTAAATTCCTTCTGTGCAACAAGCAAGAGCAAGGTCAATGGTCTGAGTCATTGTCGGATTGAAAATTTATTGTATTACATGACTATGACATTCTAAATACATTTGAATACGTAGTAGTACTTTTGTCAAAATCGATTTTTCAATAGCAGGGTGAATTTTTTGAAAAGATATGCAAATAATAGTTCATTTCATGCTTTTTAGGTAAAAGTTTATCAAACTACAGTACAGGAGCATGGGGTTGATAAAAAGTCATAACCCTAATATATATATATATATATATATATATATATATATATATATATATATATATATATATATATATATATCACTGTCTACTTTAATTACTGCTTCCCAATTGCTTGGCAGACGGTTGATTCCATGAGCGAAGAAGACAATATTATTAGATTGCCTTCAAAACTCTTAGAGGCAATGTACACTTTGACATTGGCCACCCAGTCATCCAAATGTAAATCTTATTTATTTGCCAGTTTTTTAAAGAGCAGTTGATGTGATAGTCTGTAGGTGCTTTGGTCAGTAAATAAGGTGGATGTGTAGACAGATCCCAGCCTTTATTGGCGATAAATTTAACGACACAACGTTCAACATGAGGTCCCTTGTTATCTTCGTGATATAATTCTTTTTGTGGGGTCTATTTGGAAGTATTTAAATGTTTTTGAAAAATTTAATATTTTTTCAAGTTAAGGCCCTGATTTATTTTGCCTCGATTGCAGCGTGAAGACGATCAAGCTGAGCTACGTAGGCGTTGTTGTTGATGTTAAACTGCCTCTTGCCATTTTTGTCCGGGATTTACCAATGTTATCATTCTTCTTGACACTACAGAATTGGAAAAAATAGAGATATAAAGCCGGAGTCCTTTTGGAACTTTTCCAATATTTGTTGAAGCATTCAAGGATTGAACCAAATTATATTTCTATTTCGTTTTTTTGCAATTTTTGTTTCAAATTTTAGCTCAAAATTTTTAATCTACTTTTTTTAAGAGCATCTTCATACACAAGTTTAGAAAAGTTAAAAATATTTTCATTAGAAAAGTTTTTTTAAAAAAAGTTATAATTAGATTTAAAAAAATTTTTTTTTTTTTTTTTTGTTAATTTGTTTGAGGGTTTGAGGGGGTGATTTGAATTTATATTAGTAAACAATAATTCATCATTAGGTTTTTTATAAGTTAGATTTTTCCAAGATCATTGTGATCATCAATGTGACATGAAAATTCACAATTTTTAAATTAGTGAATTAATTTTAATTTGGAAGTATTTTTGAAAAATTTAATAATATTTTTTCTGATTTTCTCCTGATTTATTTTGCATTGTTATTAAAACATCATCACAATACAGGCCTAATTAATTAGATTGAATTATTTTAGCTAGGGAATTTAAAAATATTATAATTAAAAAAAAAAAAATTTCACACCTGATTTTGTGAAAAATAATGTAATGTAACTTTCTGGTTGAAAAATGACTACAGTTTTTATAGAATTAATTCTATAAAAACTTCCTGTGAAAACTTCTTGTGTCCTTGCCACCATTATACATAAGGTTTAAAAACTGATTGTCCCTTTAACCTAAAATTTCAAATTTTTTCCCAAAAGTTGTCCTTAGTATTCTTTACATTTTTGTAGCTCCTAGATTCCAAAAACCAGTAAATAGTCTTTTTGTGACTTTCAAATCCAGAGTCCTAATTTGGACTCCACATTCCTGATTTAAATTTTCTTGCATGATCTATGTGCAACTGATATGAATTTGTTTTTATTGAACCAATAATAGATTTTGCTTTATGTTTATCTTTAAATCTATTCTTTT